AGGGGGGACCAACATGGGACAGTATGGAACGGTTCTATTGGTACCATCTACAACTTTTCACAGTGGAAACGGAAAAAAGCAAACTGAACTGAACCGCACTGCTCAGTGGAAACTGGGCTTTTTTTCTGTAATCCTGCTGACAAACAGACAAACTAAGCCAACTAGTTGTATTTGACACGTGTTGCTGTCGTCCTGTGGAATCAGCTTTGTGCCAATACAATCAAATAAAGTTTTGTTTGATTGTATTGGCACAAAGCTGATTCCATAACGTCCCTACTTGGGCAGTCGCAAAGCTCATTACCCAAGGCTTTCAGGAAACAGGGTGCCCTTGCACCCCAGAGAGCAACCTGTTACCATAGTAATGGTAGAAATGCACGTCTGCTGCACAAGAGAGGAGATGGGAAGACAAGAGTCCGGCATTTCATCTCATCATTAGCATATTAGCCCCTTAGAGCCAATGAGACGAGGCAAGGTGCAGGAATACTCCAAGGGGACTGGCTGTGACAATGGCCCTCCTCCTCCTCCTTGGTGTTCTCCTCCACCCCCTCCCTGGGGTAAAACCCCCTGTAATCCTGAAGGAAATCTCCCCTCCACCCAAACTATTTCTGCCCAGAGAACTTAGTTTTAGTCATGACCATTCTGTGTTGAACATTATGATTTGGAGTTGTTGGTCAGTGTGTGTTCGGATGTAGTGGATCAGAGCTGTGCCGTGATGCTCAGAGCTCAGCGGCCTGCATGTCTCTTTATTTTGGCTTGTCTTTGAAGTGTCTGTGGAATGTGGTGCCTGACCAGCACACGGCTGCAACTGGCCTCACGTTCAAACTGAGCTCCTGGCTAAAACTGTTGTGTGGTCCTTCGGATAACACATTTCTTCTCTGTGTCCATTCTGAATCCCTTCATCCAGATGTTTGGTGAGTCAAAATGAACCGTATTTTATGTTTTAATCACTTTTTGTATTTTAAACTTTTGACTTCTGTGTTTGACGGCCGTCACACCTGCTGCCTTTTGTCATGTGTCCGTGAATAACTGGGGGATACGTTCGGGTCCTTATGACCCTAATACTGTTATTGTTGTTGTCTTATCATCCAGTATGAGGTCATCCATCATTTAGGTTAAGCCATGATCAGCAAGACTTAGCATTTCCCAACTAAATGCAAATTAATCTCTCAGGGAAAGACTTGAAGGTGCAACAAAATCATCTGTGAATATTCTGATAAAGTATTATTAATTAATTAGCTATTACTTTGTTGGATGAGTTTGATTTTGTACACGTATGTGAGCTGTTTGTTTTTGAATGAGGACTGGTTGGTACCGGATACATTTGAAGTAAAATGGGGCTCTGAGCTGATCAGAGAGCAGTCTCTCTGTCCCCCTGCCCCCCATTCCAGCCAACTGATTCACTTTCCTAGCATATCTGTGCTGGCCCAGCTGTAGCCCTGACGATAGGCCTAATAAAACCAGCCTCATTTGCATACCAATAGCAGGCGCCATGTGTAGCTAGCTCCTAGTGGCCTAGAAACACGGACTGCGAGGAGACAAGGAAGACTGGGCTCCATGTTGGCTTTTCTTTGTCCTCTAAATAGGCCTTACCTTTAATCCACTATTAATTTTGTGGAACTGTCCCACTTTATCGAGCTTAACCAAATCTCTGTCTGAAAATACTCAATCTATAAAATTACTGTAGGGTGAGAATATAACATCTTATGTTAGTCATTTCACTCAGGAGTTTGTTTTTTAGGTTTCTGTCTGAAGGAAGCTGTTGTTTGGAGCTCTTGTCATCAGATCATTGAAGGCCTTTAGACAAGGTGACTGCGGGGGCAGGACCTCCTGACCTCGTGGCTTTGTAGGGCAGGTCCAGTCCAATGAGAACGAAAGCAAGCAAAGCTTTGTCTCAAATTCTTGACCAGTTCAACACAGTTGCCTCTCAGTAAAACTAGTTACAGAGGTCTAACATATGATACTAGATTGTCGGGCTGCAACCAAACATTATTTTCATTGTTGATTAATCTGTCAGTTATGTTCGTGATTAATTCAACAGTTGTTTGATCAATGAGTTGTCAGAAAATGGTGAAAAATGTCTTTCATTGTTTCCCAAAGCCCAAGATGACGTCCTTAAATGTCTTGTTTTGGCCACAGCCCAAAGATATTCAGTGTATTGTCAGAGAGGAGGAAAGAAACCAGAAAATATTCACATTTAAAAAGCTAGAATCAGAAAATTTTGACTTTTTTTTTCTTCAAAAATCATCAGATTAGTTGGGGATTAACTTAATAGTTGGTAAGTTGAGTAATGAGTTGACTAATTAATCATTGCCGCAACAATTAATCAACAAGTCCAGTGATAGAAAATTAATTGGCAACTATTTGGTCGTCAAACAACTTCTTTAGTAATTTTTTAAGCAAAAAAGTGAAACATTTGCTGGTTTCATGTTTCTGAAATGAAATTGTCAGAAATGATGATAAACTGAAGTAGCGTTGTCTTTTTTGTCAGAGCTGCCAATTAATGAAAATACTATGGCAGTGTAGCCAGGTGCAAAATCCAAAATGACAGGTGTCAGTTTTTTGCTGAAGGTAAAATGTGCCTACTAATCATATTCCAGATGCAAGGGAACGTGTTTGTTTGGTACAGACCCCCCCAAAAAAATCACACATCACATTTTTTTTAATGAGATGCAAAAATTCTCATTCCCCCCAAAATTGTGAAACATATCGCAATCACAGTATTTGTCTAAATTTGGGCTCTGGCAAATCAGACAGCATGTGTAACTATTTTCTGACAAATTATTGACTATTTAATAATCAAAAAAATAATGAGCAAACTAGAGATAATGAAAATAATTGTTAGTTGCAGCCCTACGAAAAGTAGAAATTAAAAACCATTTCCTGGTGTTTTAAACTTCCACTTAAACATCCAATATGTAATTTTCTGCTGCGACTAGTCTCTCAAACAAAACAGGAAAAAAATGGTACTCCGTTTCTCGTGGTTAGGATTCCTTGAGTGTTTATCGTTCAGGAGGTTTTTACCGCAAGCCGAATTATCCGCAGAGGTCTCTTCCTCTCCAGAACAAACAGACCAGTTGAATAAAGCCAGTAAAAACACTGAATAAAGCAGTTTCACATTACAAATCAGTGTTTCTCTGATGCTGTTCGGCATGTCGCGTTAGCGGCCGCTAGCCCACCTCCTGCTAATGTGTGCTCACCTTTTTTCTATGATAGCTTAAGATCCAGAAGTTCAGGAGGTTTTACCACGAGCCGAATTATCCACAGAGGTCTCTTCCTCTCCAAAACAAACGGACCAAGTGATTTAAACCATTAAAAACACTGAATAAAGCTTAGAAATCAGTGTTTCTCTGATGTTGTTTGGCGTGGCAGAGGCTGGAGCTGAATTGCCGTTAACATTTGCTCAGCTTGCTTCTTTGATAACTTAACATCCAGACATCTGATAACTAAAACCATTTATCCCTTTAAAACAACAAGTTAAAAACAACCAAGATCTAAAGTGTGCATCGTAAGTTACATATTGTGTATTTAAATTAAAAGTTTCTTTGATAAGAGTCAGACGCTGATGCGATTCAAATAGAAACATAATCTCATTTAAAACATAGATCTTGAATTAGTTTGACTCTTTTTACACAAGTAGAAAATATATACTCAAATAAAATGTTCCCCATTTAATATTTGCACAAACACAGCTACATTAACACCCCTATAGGTGCACTAAATGTCCCTGATATAAGGGCTGTCTGGGAGGCAGACGACAGCTTGGATCGAGGGGTGATGTGGCTGATCTGATTGTGTAAGAGATTCTCTGCTCTGTTAAGCCCCCCTGCCCCATGCTGGGCTTGTGTTCCCTCTGGGGACCATATGGCAAGTCTGAGCACAACCAGCTCACCTCAGCTGCGCACGGTTTCAGTAATGAGCCTAATAAGAGACGAGGAGAACTGTTTCACTCTGGTATTGTCTCTGTGATCCGTCATAACAGGGTTATTCTCACCCTCTCAACTTCCATGACACTCCAAACTGTGACATCATGACTATGCATTCATGCGACCAGGAGAGGGGGCTGTAACACCAAGTATCAGCAGACATGTACGCTCCTGTAGGCTGCACACTACTGAGCACTCTGTGGTAATTCAGCTGGATCAGAGATTTAGAGAACCTTTGTCTTAGTGAGCCTGTTCAGACACTGACTTCCCCAACATACAGATACACATATAGTGAGCACAAACTTTAACAAATGTCAGATGGTCTTTGTCTTGTCTTAAGTCCAGTCAATTGTCTACGAGCTCTTAGTGTGTGTGTTCCTCCCCCTGCTGCCCAGGAATATGAAAATGGTGGATATTGTAGCTCAGAAAATGCCCTCTGAGAATGACGTGCATGTGGCGAGAAGCTTTCTTACGAAGATTTTGCGAAGTTCCATGAGGTACGGTTCTGTGGCTTCATCGTAATCAGTAGTATCTCTTCCCCTTTTTTTTCCACTCCCTGTGCCCCTCATCATATTAATCATCTGTCTAGTGATAATATCATCTTCATTCCTGCCTCTCCTGTGGTTTATTACCTGCCCTCATTGGCATGTGTCTGTGGATTGTCTTGTGGTTCATGTCATTAGACGAAAGATGTGCATCCCATTTGTTCAGCATGCAACACACTGTCAATTACATGTATACACACGTTCATGTCTTTGTGTTGATGAGGAAATGAAATTTGCTTTAGTGTCATTTTAAGCTGATGTGTTCTGTTCACATTTTCCTGACATGCAACACAGAAAGAATCGCTTCAAAGGGTATGTTTCATATTCAGAGCAATACAAAGTTTTGATGAAGATAAAAAGTGTTGGAGTAAATCGAAAATGAAGCAAAAAGCACTTCCTCAGTACAGATGCAATAAAATAAGTTAATGTTTTCCTAACTTTAAGTTTGCACAGATTCATATGTGCGAGCACATCGTGTTTTCCATATGGGCCAGGTCTCTAATCCAGGCTGTGTTTTTTGCCCTCTCTGCAGGCGGAACGAACCCATAAGCAGGCCTCACTCCTGGCACTCCACCAAGTTCAACGAGAGCCAATCAGAGACTGCCAAAACACAGTCTCCACCCACGCAAGTCTGGCACACCAGATATGATGCAAGGTAACTCTGAGATCTTCAAGTTTGCCTCTTGACTCTCAGTGTTTAGACATCAAGCATTTTAAGATCAAGAGTATGTGATTATGCTTAAAACACTTGGGTTGTTGTGCTACACACACTTTATATAACCGCTATCTTCTGCTGAATAAAAGGATTAAAAAAAAAAAAAAAAGTTTTGTGCATCTCAGATAGTAAAGACTCATGCATTCTAGGGTCAAATAGACATACATTTAGGCTTTAAGTTGTGTTAAAGTTGTCTTTATTCATGAGGGTGAAAGGGGACCACGTTTAACTACAGCGTTGTTACAACATAGAATTGAAAATTTAAACACAAAAGTTTTAACATATCTGCTGCATCATGACGTACAAATGTTACACATCGGTGGTTTGCAGAAACATCAAATGCCAACATTTATTCTGGGCTGGTTTTTAAATAGACAAGATCCCGTAAATAGCAACCAGATTTTTAAAAATTCCCTCTGACCTAGATTTTAAAAACGAACAGCCTGCAAAACCACCCTGTACAATAAATAGAGAGCAAATGTTTTTCTGTTTGGTTGCTGATGAAAGGATCTAGCGAGTGTTGCGAATCCTGCCCTCAGTGAGGCCATACTGGCCGCGGTGGATAACGACGTAAAGAAAAGGACTTGATACCAGAGGGGTGTTAAGTGCAACAGCAGCAAAACGAAATCAAAACGTTGGTTTATAAACTTTCACCCAACTCATTCAGTATAATCTAAGTTTGATTTGTTCACCTGTACGCTCAGTACTTCTCGAACACATGCATTATAGCTAAGACCTTACTATTTAAAACACTTGAGCATAAACAGTCTCACACACAGATGAGTACATGCCTGCACTGTTTATGCAGAAGTGTTTTAAGTAGTAAGATTTTAGTGAAAATGCATGTTTGGGAAACACTGAGCACACGACTGGATAAATAAGTAAAGGGTTAGGGTGAGTGAATGAGTGATTTAAAAATGGTCATTTTGTGGGCAAAGTACTCTTCTCACTGTAAGAATCTGTAGTTAAATGGCTAATTTTGCAGCTTGTTATTTGTATTTTCTCACTTGGCTGTTTGTTTTAACCTCCAGCTCATCCTCCACTGATCTCTCCTCTGGCTGGGAGCAAACAAACCTGCGCAGAGTGTCCGACCAGTTCAGCTCTCTCGGCAGTATGGACAGTCTAGAGCATGTCTCACATCCGTACCCTGCCGGTCAGCTGTCACCTGCCAAGTCCAACAACAGCATGGAGCATCTTGGAGGAGGGAAACGAGACTCAGCCTACAGCTCCTTCTCCACCAGCTCTGGCACGCCAGACTACACCCTCTCAAAGAGCAACGCTGCCTCGACAGAGAATGTGCTCTATAAAGTCAGTCAGTGGGACGCAGGTGGAAAGCCTAACAATGGCAGAAACAGCCAGAGCCTGATCGAGGGAGTCAAACAGGACGACAGGGTGGCGTATTTCCAGATGCCAGGAGTCAACTCAGGCTGCGCGGGTCCACAGGCTGAGGATTCAGCCGGCTCCCGCCACTCCACTTCAAGTAGGACCAGCTTGGGACCTGTTTGGCACGTCCCTGAAAAAAAGAAGACTGCGTCCCCCTCTCCTCCCCCTCCCCCTCCACCTGCACGCAGTGACAGTTTTGCTGCGACGAAGGTACATGAAAGGGGGCTCATTATAGCTCACCCTGAAGGACCTGAATCACACGCACCCTCTAAGATTTCCACAGAAAATCGCCGCAGCCACAACCCATCCCTGAAAAATGACAGCGACGGTTCTTACACTTCATCTGATAAATCAAATCACAACCAGTTCAGCTCAAACAAGCAGTACTCCCTCTCCAGCAGTGATGTTCGGCAAGGCCAGCCCCACCATCAAAGACAACATAGTGACAAAAGCACTTTTTATTCTCAGCCCTGGGCGATGTCTGTTCCAAAGCCACAGAACGTAGGTGGCTACTATTGTAGCATGCAGGAACTGCCAACAAACGGTTCTGCACAGCACTTTGGTCAGAACCAGAGAAGGAACGTAAGCACCTCCCTGTCAACCACAGCCTCTGACCAAAACACAGACAGCAGCGGACATAGCCGATACTACTGTGTCACAACGTGTCAGCCCTCGCAGCATAACCCCCAGCCCATGTCGGGAAAGTCAGAGGACAGGAAGAGTGTCTCAGGCGTGGAGCTGGCACAGACTGGAAATGAGCGTAACTCTCTCAGCCCGCAGACGGTCACCAAAGTCAAGTATCATCTGCCCCAACAGCAACAACACTCCCCTCACAGTAAAGACAGTAATGGATACAGCAAGCATCAAGTTACTACTGTACTAGAAACCTCCAAATCCAGCTCTGATGATAGGGGAAGTCAGAGAGGACAAAATGCAGAGGCTCAGTTCATGAGTTATCCTCCCAGCAGACATTCTGATCAGCGGAGATCCCTGTCACTACAACAGAGAGAATCACCTCCAGACATGAGACATCACAGCCAAGGGAGCAACAAGATCTGCCCCCAGGCGACCCCCATGCTTCACTCTCTGTCCCTGGATGCCGCAGGCCAAGATGAGAGAACAAGAGGCCCAAACTCTGAAGAATCCATTGAAAGCAAGCAGATGAGACGCAGTGACCGTTTTGCCACCACATTAAGGAACGAAATCCAGATGAGAAGAGCGAAGCTGCAGAAAAGTATGAGTGCAGCTGCTCTTCCTGGTACCGAGGGCGAGGCTGAAGATGATCAGGATGTCTGGAAGTCCCCTGAAAGCACCACGCCGGCTTCTGCAGATGGCTCCTTTACAAACTCCTACAAAGATAATCTGAAGGAAGCACAAGCGAGGGTGCTGAAGGCTACGTCTTTCAGGAGAAAAGACCTGGTCTTGGTGGAGCACCCTGCGGCTGAGGCCTTACCTAGCTACCCCTCATCAGGGCTGGCCAGGAAAGATGTCACCCCTCTGCCAACAGTCTCGGAGTCTGTGATGAGTAAGTCAGGGCCTGCTGCTGGTCAGGTAGCTCGCATTGGTGGCCGCAAGCGTTTCCCTGCAGAAAAGAAGGTGCGGTCTTTCTCTGAACCAGACAAAATCCACGAAGTTGGGGTGAAGGAAGATCTCCCTCGCAATGAAAGCTCCTCACTAGACCAGCAGAAGCACAAAGAAAGTGTAAAACCAGTTTTTCCCAATCACATTCCCCCACAGAGCTACACAGAGAACCCCACAGAGACAAAGACCCGAGGTGTTGCCTCTGCCAGTGAAACAGAGGACACAGTGAAAGGCATCAGGGGCAGAGAGTTCACTGAAGAGGTCCAGGGAGGTCCTCACTCTGCAAACAAGCAGTTCCTCCCAGACCAGCAAAGACTTGGCACCTTCGCTGAGTACGAGGCCAGGTGGACTATACAGAAACCCCCTCCAGAAACAAGAGCCTCTGGACGGTACCGATCAGCCGATAACATCCTTGATCCAGGACCAGAGGAGAGAAACAAGAACGCATGCTTCCACGAGAGATCCCGTTCATCTCCTTCAGCTGACTTCTACGGACAGGTGAGGCACAAACGCTGATTGTTTGCAATCTCAAAAAGGTTTGAACAAATGTTTTATTGGTATTTTCAAAATAAAACCCTTTTCCACTGGACTAAAAACCTGCCAACATCTGGCTTTTGTCTTTAGTGGGAAAGGTTACAACTGGCATTCACTCCAGCTCCGATCGGCAGTTATGAAAATACGACACTAATTTTAGCCCCTTTAACGACACAGTGCAATGATGGGCTGCCACAAAATGCTGTCCGTCTCTGTCAAAGCAGTGTTTGAATATCATTCGAGTTTAAGAGAGCGACTGAATAAGTAACAGATATAAGTGACATTTTCAGTGGCCTTATACTGGTCTCTCTTGTTAACCAATCCGTTTCCTGGCCTGTCTGTGACATTGAACGTGACACACCAGAAGAGGAAAAAAAAACAGAAAGGCATGCTTGTCTGGTTCTGGTCTGCTGGCAATCAGAAATCACCTATTGTTACGGGTCTTCCCACGTTCAAAAATCCTGCACTTGCACAAGTTTTGACAGTAAAAGGGTTTAAGAGAAGCCTCTTGGTTGTAAACTGTTTTTAGTCACTTAAAGGTTGCAACTGTCTCAGGCCCACAAGGTGGCTTTATATCCCATGAAGACAAACACTGAAGTGAAAGAAGCAGGAGCAGAAAGGACTGAGCCAAGTCAAATATTAATCCATGTTTGTTCATAATGACACACCCTCAGCTTAAGGAAGAGAGAGGGGCATCAACACGCTGATGTTTTGTTCACTGCTGGAAAACCAGGAAGCTGCAGCATGAGTTAGTCTGACTAATTAACAATAGAGTAGAACTTTTAGAACTTTTCAGATAACTAAAAAAAATCCCCTTATGTGGTTTTGCTTAACTGACTGCACGTGTTTGTTGAACCTTTATCTACAGAAGATTCAAGTTCCCGCAAGACGGTCTGAGACAGAATATTCCCAGACGGAGAGTAAACCTGCTGAACCGCTCAACACTGCCACAGGGTGAGTAAATCTTGTTTGATGTAGCTGCTGGTGCACCAGTGTCTTTGGCAGTGGGAGTTTTTTGTCTCCAGTACTGAAAGCAAAACTCAAGGAACTGTAAAGACTGTCTGTTGGGTAATCATAGGAGATCTAAGAGGAAGTAAACTAGTGTTATTATCTGTCATCAATGGGTGAATTGAAACTGAATGCTAACATTATAATGGACTGTGCTCTATTTCACTGGTGGTCCTGACCCTCACGAGGGGTTGCCAAAGCTTCATGGAGGGGTCGCAAACCTTCTTGAGTCTTAACTGACTTTTTTGATGTCTTAGCTTTTCATTTATTTCTGTGAAGACAACTAAATGACAAATTCTTACTTTTAAAGTTTAGATTATTATTCAAGATATTTAAAACAAGGTTACAGATAGACAAGAACACATGCTGTACTGACAGAACCTTCACTCTCTGCTAAACAGCCCATCCTGCATTAGAAGAGTTCACAGTTAAAACAACCAAGGAACTAACAGGACTATGTGCTGAGGAGTGAAAACACTGAATTTGTCAAAAAATAAACCTACATACAGGTTTGTCTTGGCTCCAAATAAGGCTGATCATGTGCACACACATGTATGTGTACCGAACCTTCAACTGACTCAAGCAAACACTTTGTAAAAGCAGTGCATCTCAGGAGTTGTAATAAATATATGATTGGAAAAAAATACAATTATTAATAAACTGTGGCCTGTGGTCTTTTATGTGAATTCCTGGGTATTAAATGTCCATCTGCAGTCTGCTGTGGTCCCACTAATATTTGTTTGTGTACTGAAGTAGCAGATCTCATGACCTAAGCTATGTTTGAGACTGAAAATATGACCACAAGTATTATTTTATTTTCATTTTTTATTCAACCCATATTTAACTAGGTAAGTCCTGTTAAGATCAAGGGTCTCTTTTACAAGGGAGACCTGGCTGAGACAGCAGCACACAAAAAGTTACAGCCAAACAACCACACAATAAAAAACAGGTAGAAATATCAGAACACCTACGCACAATGACAAGACCCAACCGACTTATTCATCCTTGTACTTATGAGAGCTTTAAAATCAGGCAGAGACCAGCTCATGTAGTTTCAAATCTTTCTGAAAGTTATTCCCAGTGAGAGGAGCAGAGCACATAAAAGCTTTCTTTCCCAGCTCAGTCAGTGCCCCAGGACAAGACAGTAAATCTAAATCTTGAGATCTCAGACTGAAGCTACAGTCAGATCTCTGATCAGTACAAATGTACGAAGGGAGTTTACCCAGTTTGGCTTTATAAATGAACAAATACCAGTGACTGAGCCTACGAAAGGTCAAAGAAGGCCGACCAGCCCTGGAATAAATGTTAATACACTGAATATCTTTTAAAACAATTTGACTATTATTGACACAAATGTCGATCCCCTTCTGTTTTTGAAGCATTTTCAAAATAATTATATTTTAAGTAATCCCCTCTCACACACTTTTACAAGAAAGTCCAACTGACGTTTGCAACAGCATTTACACCAATCAGCCAAAGCATTCAAACCACTGACAGGTGAAGCGAAAAACTTTGATTATTTTGTTCCAATGCATTGTTCTGCTGGGAAACCTTTTGGTTCTGGCATTCATGTGGATACCAACTGACATGTTGCACCCACTCAAACACCATTGCAGATCAACGCCCGATCCCAGAGATCCTGTGTCCATGCCTCCACAGGTCAGAGCCAAGTCCGATCCAAGGAGGCCCCACCTTGGATTAGGGGTACATCTGGGGTACCGGCACATCACAAGAATCCTTGAGCAGATTGGGACCTGGGAAATTTAGAAGCCAGGTCGACACCTTGAGCTTTGTGTCTTGCTCCCCAGGCCATTTCTAAACAGTTTTTGCAGTGTAGCATGGTGCATTATCCTGCTGGGGGGCCACTGCAATTGGGGAGTACTGTTGCCATGAGGGGGGGTACTTGGCCTGCAACGGTGTTTGAGTGGTTGGAACATGTCAGGTGGTATCCACATAAATGCCAGAACCAAAGGTTTCCCAGCAGAATAATGCATTGGAACAAAATAATCAAAGTTATTGACTTCACCTGTCAGTGGTTTGAATGCTTTGGCTGATTGGTGTATAACTCCAACTGGCGATCTAAATCTATCATCGAACAGCAGGGAAAAGGAGTTTTATTTGCTCCATTTATTTTCTCGTCGTAGCGGCAAAGACATTAACAAGTGGAAACACTGTGGCGCATCGGGCTGGCCTCTGCTCTGCTGTGGTCCAAAACAGACCGCAGCAAAGCAAACTTCTTGTCCTTTTCACTAGGAAATAGTGTTTTCTATTATAACACTTGTCAGAGTTTTGTTGAGAGCTGAAGGCCGGACGAAATTTGACGGGGGGCAACTTACTCGTAATTCTCTCTATATATATGCATATAAAGTTCTTAAAGCTCATTTTACACAAACTTCCTGCAGTTATTTCATTCACTATTTGGTTAACTGTACAGTTTATCAATTGCTCTGTAGTTTTATTGTTATGCATTGACTATAACATAAAATATGTCAGTCAGGGGTCGTCAGGTTACTCAACAATAGTAACAAGGTCCCTCAAAGATAAAAGATTGGGAACTCAACTTTATTTATATGGCACCTTTCATACAAACATGCAGCCCAAAATGCTTCACATAGCAAAATTGGAATGATACAGACACAAGACAATGAGACACAATAAAATATTAAATAAAGCAACCCAACCAGCGAATTCCACAGTTCAGGGGCGTAAAAACAGAAAGCTCTCTCACCAGTACTTTTATGGGACACAGGAGGAACATTTAAAAGTAAAACAGTAGAGGACCTTAGTGATCTGGCTGGAACATAAAATGATATAAAATCTCTGATGTATGCCGGCCGGGGTGAGGACATTTAAAGCTTTATAAACAAGTAAAAGAACTTTAAAATCAACTCTAAAAGATACAGAACCACTGCTCTACTTCACATTTTTTATTTGTTATTTTGCTCTTGCACTGGTGTCGTCATCGCTCTCTCAGTGTATACAGTTTGATATTTTATTGTGTTTTTACTCCTGAGCTTTATCAGTGAAATGAGGGCAGTAAGATTGTAGAGGAACAGAGGAGTCTTTATAATCTATCGATGCATACCAGCAGCACTGCCTTGGCGCAGCTGTGACAACATAAGCCGTCTCTCTGGCTGCGCTTTGTGTCGCTGACTGGAGGTTTACGGGTGTAGGCGAGGCATCTGACCACGTCTGTGACAGTGAGGAAGTGTTTCTTCAGCCCTCCAGCAGAATGTGACGGCGACCCGAGTTCAGGAGGCCAGCCCGAAGGCATGAAATTATCATCAATAAGATCTGTTACTTTGCATAATGGGATTTTAAGGCACGCCAGCGGCACGGCTCTGTGGATGGCAATGTCGGTCTGTTGATGGGGTCCAGACTGAGAGATCTCTAACAGCTACTGAATGGATGGTCATGACATTTGGGTCAGGCATTCATGTTCCCCTCAGGATGAACTCAAATAATTTTGGGGATCCTATACATTTTTATCTGGCTGCATCATGAGGTCAAAAATTTAATGTGTGCAAAACTTTGGTTTAAACTAACAACATTTCCATCAGGCCTCAGCTGTACAGCTAAATAGCAAATGTTAGCATGCTAACAAGCTAAACTGACATGTTAAACGTGGTAAATTTTATATCATAGACTGTATAAGATAATGGACGTAGCCACCATGAAGTCACCCATTGGTTTGTGGACTCATATTGGATTTTTTTGGAGCCAGAGGTGACATATCTTGAAGGAGGGTGGCGATAACCCCAACGCTAGCTACTAGCTTGGTTAGCACGGTGTATTTACAGCTAACTAATGCTAATGCAAATTTTTGCTAGCAAAAAAAAGCTTAAACAATTAAAACGAAATGTACTTAATGGAAAAACTGAACATCCAACTCATTGTGCTGTGTTCATACCAAGAGTGACGTCATTTACAATGGAAGCCGGTGACGTGAAGCTACAAATTGACTCCTGACACTTGTCGCTGCTGATGTGCGTGATGCATTGCAAATTTTTTTTCAGCGCTCCAATGACACCGTCAAGCATCAGCCAATCATATGTTTTTTTCCTAGCCATTGTACTGTGTTATTTAGCTTAGTTAGCTGACGCTATGCTAGCCCTGGAGGTTGCCCCTTTCTGATACCTAGCTGACATTAATATTCAGCTTAATGGCTTTGCTTTACGTTACCATCACAGAGCTGCTAGCCTGGCTGCAGACTCTTATTTTGCTTTCAAAGACATAAGGAATTATGCTGTTGACTTTTTTTCCTCCAACAATTGGAGAAAGGCTACTGAGAAAACAGTATCACAGTAGGTTGGTTTAACTGGCAAAATGTTTGCTAACCTATAATCACACATTCACATCTTCACTCAGTGTTGAAATATCAACTCCAACTTTGTCTGGAATTGTGTAAAAGCTTGGAAGTTTTTTAGATAATGCTCACAATAATATAAAGCTGTCTGTGTATAAAGTGCTTCAGTCACACTGGAGTTAATCTCCTTAGTAACTGTTTGTTTTACGGGCAGGGCAGAAATGTTTACAGGTAACACTGATGACTTCGTGTGATCTTTTGATGATCCCATATGAACTGTTGTCATATGAAAACAGTGAGGTGGTTTTTAATGTTAAAGGGAAATTTCAGTTTATTTCAACCTGTCTCCTATCATCCTAAATTTGTTTCAAGTGACTAGTGACATAGAAATAATAGTTAGCATGTTATCCGTTAGCCTAGATACAGCCGTAGCGGCTGAGGCAGTCTTTGTGGAGAAAAAGCTTGTTTAGTGGACTAACTTTGCACTGAAAGGATGCCCGTTCAATTAAGTTTTAACAGGTCTGACGCTACGGCTGTATCTAGGCTAACGGCTAACATGCTAACTATTATTTCTATGTCACTAGTCACTTTAAACAAATTTAGGACGATAGGAGACGGGTTGAAAAAAAACAAACGAAATTTCCCTTTAAAGTATGATAAGATAAGATACACCTTTATTAATCCCACAATTGAGAAATTCCAATTCCAATGACTGTTAAAATGTAGTTCTTGAATTATTGAGCCAGCTGTGACCATTGAAGCTTAGTTTTTTTCTTGTATTAAAGGGACACTGTGTCACTTTTTGTTAAATAATGTCTTGTGTGGGTTATCTTGGGCTTGGTTTTGAGAATCTGGGTTGGTTTATTAACAAGAAATCTGTTAGTACGTTTACATGACATGAGAGAAAATCTATTTATTGCATTAGTCCAACTAAAATCAGAGTTTTAAAATCCACTGAAATCATACTAAATCTAAAACACCCAGATTAATTCCTCCTGCGTGTGCACAGTCAGTCGGACCCAAACTGGCGTAGGCGCTCTGCGCATGCTCCACAGATTCCACCCCGGGCTTTGACCCAGAAGTCAAAACCATTAAATTCGTAGCAGAAGAAGCTGGTAACAACATGGCGAAATTTACATCCAGAGCATTTTTTGAAAGGACAAAATGTAACGTTACAGAGTTGTAAAGTTGTCCACCATAGTACCAGTTTGCCGTTAGCTAATCGTAGCTAACTTGTTTGTCGATTGTTTGGTATGTGACGTAATAGGTCAACCGGCTGAAAGGAGGCATATCTCCACCTATGGTAGCGGAGTCTGACATACTTCAGTCAATAACGTGGCCAAAGTTTCAAATAAAAAGGTAAACATATGTAAAAGTGATGGCTTTTAGCACAAGCCTCAGGCCTCAGACCATTCTGAATACTCGTTTACAACTGTTTTTTCTACTTTCGAGACAAGCTGGTGTCAGATCGTGATAGATTGCTTAATATGGTCTTCTACTCCAGGCACCCTACTGGAAGTGTTTACATTTCATACACTGCTACATGTAGCTACATGCTAGCACCAGGGAAACATGCAATCTTGGTGATCAGATTTCGGATCATATTCCTGCTGGAATATGTCCGGTTGTGAAGATTGTGGTTTAGAAGCTTTTATTAGTGATTATTTTCACCAATAAAAGTAGAAAGTGCCACTATTGTTCGTCACAGTCATTGCAGAGACCCCGAGATATGGAATAACCAGTAACTAGTCAGAGCAGACTGGGCTTTTTCGGTAAGAGGACTTTAGAGACAGGCGTTAAAACCTAGGCTGTCAGACAGAGGGTGAACACAGGTGTTCCAGCACAGACAGTGTAAGAAAAAATAGTGTTTTTGAAGTATGAACGTAAAAATGAGCACAATAGGTCTCTTTTAAATACCGATAATATAGAAACGTTGTTCTCTTTATTCCCCAGTTACTCAGAATCATATCTAAACTATGTAGAGTGACGTGGTCAAGATGACTTCATGGTTTGTAACCAGTTATTCAGGAGTCTTTATGCATTACCTAAACTCCCACAGGTGAAACTCATTGAAGGGTGTAGAGTATCTTATCTTGAGCAACCTCCATTGTCGCAGCCACACCAGATGACACTCACGTTTGCATTACAACAACAGTGCAGAGGATGTAACTGTCATTGAAAAGTCTGAGAGATGAGCTAAGTGAGAAATGCTCCACCCAGATAGTATTATTGATACAGGTGTAAAGAGATACCAACAGGTGGCTTCTGTCACAGAGAGCCAGCAGACACACAGTGTGACAGTCGCTTTTTTTAAGTAGTGCTCTATGGAAATGACAGCAGTAAAAAGTCACATAGGGTGAGTTGGTTCATTCATTTCTTTTTTACAGTTATTGAGTTATACTTAATGTTAGTGTAGCTGTATTATAGCTCATACCTTGGCTTTATTTTAAATGCGTTTCATTCTCATATTTGACAAAGAAGTTCACAGTGAAAGGATCAGAGAAGAAAGTAATGATGTTTGGGCAACTTTGATGGACAGGAATACTTCGCCAATGCTTCCCCAAATGACCATTATTACAGCAGTTCATCACCTTGTCTTACGTTGAATTCATAAAGAAAGCGTTGTTTTTCTTGAATGCTTTCAAGAATCCAAAAAATGGAGAAAGGTTTTGATAAAATGAAGTCAGGAAACATCAAAACATCCATTAACAAACTCTCACGCGACTCCTGCAGTATAATCAAAGTCTCATTTGTCCAGTCATATGCTCAGTACTTCTCAAACAGTCAGCCCTTTCAGATGGGGAACTGAACTAAAAGTGAAACTTAAGTGTTTTAAAGGGTTAGTTCTGATTCACCAAAGTCACACAGTGACACAGACAACCGAACTGATCGAGGCAGTGGTAGCAGCAGCTCCTGTGTTCAGCGAGGTAAAATTATTGTTTTTGTCAGTGGAGTCTTGCTTTAAAGTTAGCATTGATATATTTCATTTTACATTCAGATCCCTATCAAAAAGGGCTGTCTGTTTAGCATATGACTTGATAAATGAGACTTGGATTATACTGCACGAGTTGTGTGTTAGTTTGTAAACATGTTTTGAGAAAATATTTTCTCCGTTTTTGGTTTCTTCGTTCACAAGAGGCATGTGAGAAAACCGGAATTCAGCATAACACAGTGAGTAACTGACATATAAATGATCATTTGGAGGTTAAAGTTTTCATTTAAGTAATTATTTATCGTATGGACACAAATAACTGTCTTACATTTGTTAGTGTTTTGTATCCATACACCTACAGCACAGATACATAACCCATATCCCTCCTGCTGGATACTGCAGTAATATCTCTGTTAACTTTCTCACACCCTCTGCAGAGCTGAGGCTGAGGTATGAAGGAGGGGTAAGCTGCTGCAAGAGTTGCTTATTGGGTAACTTGTCACAGCTTGTAAGAATTGCAACTGGGAGGTTTGAGTTATGGCGTCCGTCTGTCCAGAAGTCACCGTTCTGTATCTGTATCAGAGCATGCATGGAAATGTAATCTGTGAGCGTGAAACCACAGTATGTGACGGGTTTGCATGCTTTTACCATATAGTCTGGAATGAAGTTAATGACAGCGTTCCAACGTGTTGTTCCAATGTGTCGTGACGTTAAATCAGCCCCTCCAGGATGTTGCTTTGTCAACATCGCAACAGTTGACGCAAATTCAACCAATCCCTGCAGCTGTGCAATTTTGTCCAATCACTGCAACTTTTCTGCATATTTGACCAATTTTCGTAGTTTCCCAAGAGTCACCAAACTCACTTCCTTGTTTCTGGCAAGGAGGTTAAAAGAGGAGAAATCACAGCATCATACTAACGTGGTACTACACATGCACATTGAAATCTGGTCTGCAGTCACCAAAAGGCTCAGCAGCTGGCGCACTATTATAGAACATGGGGAGGATTGACTTGTTTCACTGAGGTGTCTGCAGTCGGGAAATGTTTTATACGACAAATAAAAATATGGGTGAGAATTAAAACTCTGTAATTATTGAAAAATCCATAATAAAAGACTATAAACAATGTTTTCTATATGCAAATGTTCTGTGATTTATCGGCCACCATCCATTTAAGTGTACCCAAAAATTAGTCTGCTGTAACTCTCCAACATCACGGGTCTAGTTACATTGTGCATGTTTCATGTCAGCTATTGATTATGACAAACATAGCAGTTGTGCACATCCAAAACCCATTTAAGGACTTTTGGACGTGCCAATACATTGCACTTAAAGCAGCAACAGTGTGCCGACTTTTTTCATGATGTTCATAAATAATAGCTTCCATGGGGTCAAAAACTGTGTCCCAGCTGTCACTGAACAGCCGTTTTTATAGCTGTGAAGAAGCAGACCTAATGTGATTCGAGCATCTCACATTTACCAACAAAAATTTCTGCCAGACTGTGAAAGCTAGGTTAAACTGTTTTGTAACAGGTGCAACGCATCAAAGTTTCTTTCAGAAAAGCTGCCAGAAATCAGGCATTGTAGGGCCACAACAATACTCCATAGAGCCCATGAAAGCCTGAAGGGACTGGTTAAATTATACTAAAGCCTTTAGCACACACTTGTTAAAATGTTAGTATACAGTCACCTCCTTTAGTCCACTGTCAGGCCTGTAATGATTCCCATGATCTCTGAGTTTTGAACCCTTGTTCCTCCTCCATGTCTGACTTTACCCTCAAAGAGTTAAAACTGTAAATGTGAATCAGGCAGGAAAAAGTGATCCGGTCTTGCTTCTTTGCACTGGAGGATTATTTATTCCTCTATGCTGACTTGTGGGAACTGAAATATTCCTCTTCAGGCTGCCAGCTGAGCAGTTACCAGGGAGGAGGCTTGCAGAGGAGAGGGAGACGTGTGTCTTGTCACGCTGGCATAATAATCATAGTGGCTGCCGGAGAGATGAACAAGGCCTCTGCCACAGTGTATTATTTGATTGAGCTGCAGATGATAGCCCACGCTGCCTGCCTGTTGAACAGTGTGTAATTAAAAGCTTTCTATTGTGTTCCTCAGGTTCTCTGACAGAGGCCCTGGTGACTGTAAAGTGAGAGAAAAACCAGTAGAATTTGAGCATTACCCAGCGCCACCCCCTCCGCCCATGAACCTAGGAAGCAACCCTGACTGCAGACACAAAGCTGCCACCGTGAACCACAGACCTACATCTATCTCTCACAGTCTCACAGAGTCCACCCTGCCTCAGCCTGAGGACCACAGCCACGCCGAGCCGCCGTCTGGGCCGAGGAGGAAGCCCTCTGCTCCGGAGAAGCCTCCCCCACCCAAATGCCCAGAGGTCGACTCCCACGAGTTCTTCACCGGTTCCCAGAGTGAAGTCTTCACCCACTGCTCTCCAAACGCTGACCCTAACTCCGCCTTCGTCCCCACCCACTCTGCAAAGGGAGATTCAGAGCAGGGCAAAGGGCTTGTGGACAAAGGACAAGGGGTAGTGCACCATCTATCAACATCCAATCCTCAGCCTGCCTCGTCTCCCCCGGCTTCCTCCTACAGAGCTGCAGGGCCAGCCACTATGGAGGGGCAGCGCTCTCCATCTCCACAGTTTTCCCCACAGAGACTCAGCGACAAGCCTCCGGCCTCTCTACAGGATGAAGACTCAAACAGGTAAACTTTATTTTGTTTGGTGATTTATTCAGAAGTGCATAGTATTGCTGCAGCTGTTTAACTGACACCCAGTGACCCACAGTGGCTGTAACTCATCATGTCCTTATGCTACAAAGCAGCTTATTGAGAGTCACTGCCTTTGTAGAATCAACTCGTGAGTGCTATCAAGCTGCAGTAAATTAAAAGGATTCTCCACGTCTTTTAAAGCCACTGGCGGTCTGAGCATACTTCAGCTAAATGCAGAAAATGGAGTCTAAATGCCCTCTCTGTGAAGCTGTTTGTTCATCTTCCTGGTTCAGAACTAATTGGTATCATCTGTAGTGAACTTCTGACTGCAAGCAGGATTATTGCAGCGAGCAGAAACCAATGTGGTGGGAGGAGTCCAGATGTCTCGGATATTCCAGCGGACTGGGCATGGAAAAAATCTCAGTTGCCATCATGCAGTGAAACTTTAAATTGACGTATGGCAGGAATGACAAGATTTCCTCCTCCTTTCAGATATAAACTCAAAGATTGTTTCTGTCTGTGTCTGTGATATTTCAGGATGGAGCATGTGATCGAGCACCACTCTGCAGGGAAGAAAGTGCCCATCAGGATTGTCCACACAGAGGGAGTCACAGAGAAGGAGAATTGTCCATATCTGCAGCACAGTGACCCCCCTGCTCTCGAAGCTGAGGGTCCTGGTGTGACCAGGCTCGGCAGTCTGGGAGCTGCAGGGCAGGACTCAGTCTTCTGTGCATTTACTCGGCAGAGGGAGCCCGACAGCGTGCCGGCCGTCCAGACAGACCCAAAGCCCCAGAGAGATACGTACATGACCACTGTTGGAGATCAAATCAGCTTCCACAGTCAGCAGCCGCTGCAGCCCGCTGACGAGCCCAGCAGCACCAGGGCGAAGGTGACCACAGGGCTGTCTGACGAGGACCAGAAGAGAGAGGAGCTGGCCAGGGACATCATGGGCAAGGATAAATCACTGGTTGATATTCTGGACCAGAGCAAGATGAAGACCACCATGGACTTGATGGAGGGAATCTTCCCTCAGGGAGAGCAGCTGTTGGAAGGAGGTCACCAGCGCAGGAAGGTGCCCACAAAACACGCAGTCAGCCGCCCTGCTGAGGAAAGGTCAGCCTCACATACTGTTTATAACTGTGAGCAACTGGAGTGCTTAAAGGGATAGTTTGGATCTTTTGAGGTGGGGTTGTTTGAGGTACTTATCCATAGTCGGTGTATTACCTAGAGTAGACGGCAGTCAGCAGAAGCACTGGTGCAAGAGACCTGAATAATGTACTAAAATGTATTTTAGTCACCTAAAAAAATCAGTATCAGTTTAAGTACACGCTATATTTAGAATATTTTCACCGCTTTACCTTATCATCAGGCGGCCCTTTTTAATGGGGGAATCAAGCTTCTTTATCGCTCTCCTCACAGCCAGAATTAATTGAGAGAAAAAGTAATTTAATATTGCTGACACAGGAGCTGCTGGTCTACAGCTGCCTCTATCAGTTGGGTTGTTTGTGTTAGAGGTCGTACACATGCAATGTAGACACGTGTCAAGCATGCTCAACCGCCAGAGTGGTTCCGTCGCGGCGCACACGCATTCCTGGGCACGATTGGTGCACTCTGAGATAAAGTGAGTTCAACTTTTGGAGTGCAGCAGCGCACACTGTACATCATGTCACGAGGACCAACCAGTCACAGACGACAGATATCTTTCCCTTCTTCCATAAATATTCCATCTTGCTAAATACGGAAACATTGATCATGTTGGTGCAGGGCTACCCAGAGCTTTACACCTGTCCCACGTACAATAGGCCTACACACTTATAAACAGTGCCTGGACGGGCTATGGTACCATGCTACGTTGTTGAGGTTGCTTAGGAACCTCAGACACAACCTGCAGCTGCACCCAGCGCCTGACCTTGCATTTTCCACGCGGTTGAAGATGCAACATGTGTACGGCCCCTTATTGTGTGACTTTGGTCTTTAAAAGGGTTAATAAAGAATCACCAAAGTCACACAATAACACAACACAAACTAACCAGTTGAGGCACCAGTAGACCAGAACCTCCCGTGTTCTGTGAGGTAAAATTTTCCTGATGGAAATGGCTGTCTTGACAGCGAGGTAATGTGAATGTAGTGTACACTTAAAACTGATAATGAGTTTTTTAGGTCGCTAAAAAACCATTCCCTGTTCACAGCAGCACATTGCTAAGGTCTCTTGCGCCCGGACTGCCTGCTTCGCCAAACTGGGGTCATGCCAACTGATATCTACTGTATGTAATACACTGACTATTAATTTAGTAGCTCATACAACCCCACTTCAGAAGATCCAGACTATTTCTTAGGCATTTTGACATGTCACAGAAGGAAAAGCATGGATGTATTTAACAACATTAATGATGGCTGCATTCCATTTAGAGCAGGGGAACAGCTCACTTGCAAACTTAATGAAACTGAGCCATCGTTAATGTTATCAGTTTCACCTGTACTTTTCCTACAAGTCAAAATGTCTGCTGTGATGAAGGTTCATTGCATCGTTCAAGGCACTTTTAGTGTGTACACAGCTCACCTGCTCAGCTTTCCTGGTGTGACCTGAGGTGTATTTACTCTCAGCATATCCAGTTTGTTTGATATGTAAAAACCTGAGGTGTTTAATTGCTCCTGGAAAATCATTAGCTTTGTAAACATTTAGTCATTTCTGAGGTTAAAGTTATTCAAATGCATGACTCATTCAATACTGAAGGGGCCCCCTAAAAAAGGACCTCATGCAAGAACATTTTCAGATTCATCTCCTGAATCCCTCGTAGTTTCCTGTGAAGTTTGCTCGTACGAGTGATCCAAGTCTGACTGATTAAATTCTCTTTAACGCGACAGACATAAAATTCCTTGGTTTACTTGATAAGCACCACCTGCTCATGAGGATGTGGGAGCTCATTAGACTTCATCGATAGCATAATGGGTGCTAATATGAGGCGACCTGGTCCTTTTGTTGCAAGTTTCATTTCACACAGCGGAGCTTAAAGTCCTGCTGTCAAACATCTGCAGACGAATCTTACAGTTTTAGAATTTGTATAGGTTTACCAATAAGAAATTATTAATACAGCTGCAAATGATATCCCATCACGGCAATGCCACACCATTTAAAAAATGAAGACAGCATTTTTTTTACATGAAGACACAATATATATTATTAAAGCTAAGGGGTTTATAATGAGTGGTATGATATGGAGATGGATTACTAAGTGATATTAGATGAGTGATTTCAAATCAGTGATACTGAACCCTCGGACAGTGGTTCTCAAATGGTGTGCTGTGGGATTTTGTGATAACTACACATTATTACTGCAACATTCAACTGGGCCTATACAAAAAGTTAATTGACTGTATCAGTATGTTGTGCACACACTTTTCCGAATAACGAGGCAAACTAGCTATAAAATGTAATTTAATTTTAAAAATTGGGGAACTTACTTGTTGCCATTCACGTGTGTGACACATCACATTATCCTACATTACTGCCCATTGAAATGGATGCGTTACTGGTGCTTTGACGTAATTTTAAAAAGTTTAAAATGAATTCTTAAATAATTTTGTTAAATATTTTACGAGTAATGCTTGGTTGTCAGTTGTTTCTTGATATAAATAAATAAAAATAAATATTTATGTCATTATAAGAGTGATAACAGATCTTATAGAAGCTAATGTGCACAGATATAAATACAGGTGTGCCTTAAGATTTTGGCTTGCCCTAGGAGATACTTCTGAAGTTGCCTGGGTGTACACAGAAAGATTGTAGAGTGGCTAAACCAATATTACTTATGGTTTAGTTAGAAAGGATTAACATTTGAAATAATTAGCTGAACTTAATGAATAAGCAGGTGAAACAGCAAAAACTAAATGGTAAACAGGAGGAATAATGTGCTAAAAGTAATTCATAAATGGTTGAAAGATCCAGCTTTATGTTTTCAAGTGTTAGTCATAGGAACACAATCTTGATCAAACCAACCTGAACATTAAACATTCTGTTACACAGAAAAATAAAACATCTGTCAGCCCTGTGTTAGCAGCTAAAAGAAAAATCTAAGTGCTCGAAAATTGTCACTAAAGAGCAGAACAGAAGTGTTTGTACAAGTGAGTCTTTCATGAGGCCCTTTGTTTGTTTTGTCAGAAGTTTAACTTGTGTATTTGTTACTGGTGTTTCAGGGAAAAGGAGGACAGTTTGGCAGCCGTTACCATGGTGACCAGCTCTACCTATTACAGTACATCTGCTCCCAAAGCTGAGCTCCTTATTAAGATGAAGGACATGCAGGAGCAGGTGGAGGAGGAAGACTCGGAGGACGAGCTGGACATTGATCTGGCCAATAAGAAGGTACCACACACTCACTGAACCCACTCAGTGTTCATATGATGACGAAACATAACTCTGTGGACATGAGCATGTCTGGGAAGTGTAACATAACAAATTAATCTTGGAGTAAAGTTGAGATTAAAGAGATTTTTTCTTTGGTATCTTCTGTTTTTTTTTATGTCCTTCTGCAGCAAGAGCTGATCGACAGCCTCAGCAAGAAGCTGCAGGTTTTGCGCGAGGCGCGGGAGAGTCTTCAGGAGGACGTCCTCGACAACAACGCTCTGGGAGACGAGGTGGAGGCCCGAGTCCAGCAGGTGTGCAAACCCAACGAGCTGGACAAGTTCAGGATGTTTGTCGGGGATTTGGACAAGGTGGTGAGTCTGCTGCTGTCCCTGTCGGGCCGACTGGCCAGAGTGGAGAACGCCCTCAACAGTCTGGAGGAGGACGCCACTGCTGGGGAGAGGGTGAGTAAATGTTGAAGGCTAACTTTGGTATTTTTTAACCTGGACCCTATTTCCCCAAGTTTTTGTGTCTGAAGCGCAGTTCAGACCCAAGATTCAAATAAGACAAAACCCTTTTGGAACGTTGCAGCAGCGTGAACTGGCCGGCTGATGGTGTCACCTGCAACTCCGCTGGTCAAATCACAGACGGCTGGTTTTAGAACGTAAAGCACATCACCTGTTTCAACAGCCAATTAACTTATAGTGAAGTCCGCTGGTATAGTCAGAATGACCGCAGACACCAAGCTCTCTGTGTCCATCCTCATGGTGGGTCGCTGCTGCTGCTCACTGTATGTTCTTATGCCCCGCCCACACACTCACTCTTATTGACTGATTAATTGGCGCTGGTAAATTTACATTATTGTGGCGTATTAAATATGAATACAGTCCATCTGATGCTCGTTTTGTTTATGTTTTTACCGTTTCGTCACTACTACAAATGCAGCTGTAGCCAGTATCTCACTATCACTATCCTCAGTCATATTTTAAGAAGCTACAAATTATATTCAGCCACAAAATCAACCTGAAAAGCTGCAAATCAGAACAGAAGTACAGAGAGTTGTTGCATAGAGATGATACACCATCTCATCTAGTTGCATTGGTGTGAAACGGCAGGTTTTTAAAACATTGCAGAACGGCACATTGCAAGCAGTTCTTTGTTTCAGCTCGCTTGTTGCATACTTTGTTCTGAACTGGGCCTAAGTGGTGAATGAAGACAACAATATTTAAAACTGGTCCAGTATTGAGAGAATGCTGCAGTGTAATGTTAATGGGCAATTGTTCATTGTCAATTTACGTCCACTGAATGTGTTTGTTTTTGCCACTGATAGGCTCAGATTATTATTTTAAGTGTCTGACAACATTACGGAAAGGATCCCTACAGAGATAGAGCTTTTTGTTAAAGAGTAAGATCCTTTTTGTTTAATCAGAACCCAACCCACCAGACTCCATTTACATAAACAGTTATTTTATCATCGTAAAACACACTTCATTCCAAGTCAACAGAAACCAAATTAAACTCAAATACCAGCTTAGTTTGTCTTTCCACATTTCTAGCAATCACCATTGTGGTTTGGTTTAAATTACACCCTTAATTCCCCCAGTTAGATGTGAAAATATGCTGGCTCACACTAAAATTACTGTTTATTTAAATGGAGTTTGGGGGCTTTGGTGATAGCAATTTCAGGGCTGTTTCTGGTTTAAAAAAGGATCTTACTCTTTAACAAAAAGGTCTCCTTCTGTAGGGATCCTTCCCATAATGTTGTCAGACACTTAAAATAACAATCTGAGCCTGTCAGTGGCAAAAACAAACACTGTCAGTGATCGTAAACTGACAGTGCCAGTTGGGAAAATAGGGTCCAGGTTGAAAAATACCAAAGTTACCAATTAAGCAGTAAGGTTAAAAATGGTACAGTTTGGATTTTTCTCTTCTCTTCTCAAATCCTCCCGTGTCTCTGTCATCTCCAGCGTACATTGATTGAGAAGAGGAAGCTGCTGATTCGACAGCACGAGGATGCGAAGGAGCTGAAGGAGAACCTGGACCGTCGGGAACGCGTGGTTTACGACATCCTCTCCAACCACCTGCCGGAGGACAGCCTTACAGACTACGAGCACTTTGTCAAGATGAAGTCTGCGCTCATCATCGAGCAGCGCAAGCTTGAGGACAAAATCAAACTGGGCGAGGAGCAGCTCAAGTGTCTGACGGACAGTCTGCCGATAGAGCAGAGGCTCGCCTTGTGAATATGCTGGACACTGATTGGCTCTGAAACAGCCTCATGATTAAGACTTGTTGCTCCAAGTTGCAGTTGAGCCCTGTGTCCAACAGAGGGAGACAGAGATGAGGAATCTGCAGAGACAAACAGCCATGTTTCAGTTCTGTGGTGAAGCCGCAGCACGTCTTCCTCCTTCACTTCTTCTGCCACAACACTACTCGGACTCACAGCATCCATCAGTAACTCCTTTGTGAAAGATGCTGCTTTTCCTGGCATCACCCAACCACTGTATCTAAAGTCTTTCATGCCATTTTTGCTTTGTTTTTATTTTTATGTTTTTTTTAGTAATTTATTGTAGCCTTTTGAATCTGCGCAGGAGGGGACAGTATTTTATCTTCTGCTGATCTGAGCAGCCATGCTACCTGATGTGTGGCACACGCTGAGCAACTAGGAGTATTTATCATGTTTGAATAATTTCCCAAATCCTTTTTAAACAACCCGTCAGATCTGGCCGAATATTTCAGTAAACTCAAAGGTTTTGTTAACATTTATATATAAACTAGTGGCCTTTTACTAAGATTTTGTGTTGCGCTTTCCTCACTGAAGAAACTTTTCTTCTGCAATAAACAGACAGACCAGTTGCCACAAGAAAACGTTGTCATTAAACGTTTCTGCAAACCAGATGTGATTTAACGAGTCATTTAGGCACTAAACTCAAGTGTTTATTAGCGAGCTCTCACTGTTTCTCCAGCACGGACAGCACCATCAAAACGGGGTATTTTTACGCTTCATTCACATGCTCCTCGGATAGAGAGTTTGGAAGTGGTTCTTCCGACTTTGGTGTGTTCATTATGTGGAGACAACATGGACGCTACAAAGAAGATGTTCATTCATGTTCCGTACCCGCTTATCCTGTTAGGGGCCGTGGGGGGGGCTGGAGCCAAGAGGTGGGGTACACCCTGGACAGGTCACCAGACTATCACAGGGCTGACACATAGAGACAGACAACCATTCACATTCACACCTACGGACAATTTAGAGTCACCAGTTAACCTGCATGTCTTTGGACTGTGGGAGGAAGCTGGAGCACCTGGAGGAAACCCACGCTGACACGGGGAGAACATGCAAACTCTGCACACCCCCACCCTGGGTTCGAACCAGAAACCCTCTGTGCCGTGCCTGTGGTGATAGCGCCACCAAAAGCGGTTGTTTTTTACCTAGACATCGCTGCATTTCCAGCAGGAATTGTGCCCCCAAAATCGTGTTTTTAAATGCTGCATTCACCTGCTCCTCAGATGGTCACTTTTCCCTGAGTTGGAAAGTGGCTCTCCCAACTTTGGTGTGTTCATGAGTTTGAAACAACATGGACGCTACAAGGAAGACATGTTGTATTAAATTGTACAGAGCGTTTAAACAACACGTTGATAAGTTTCATATTACAGAGTGATTTTGTCCCAGACTTATTGCTGCACCAGTACATCCCCTGAAACTACTAAAATGTTGCTTTACCCGACCAGCGCTAATACATAACTTTTCAAACTGATCTAGGTCCCTCCACACAGACAGCAGCTCACAGTTACAACCTGATACCACATTACAAATTACATATGAGCAAAAAATAGCATGCAGTATAACATCAACTGAACATCTGCTTTCGTCCACCATGTTTCTGCATATATGACGTCAACCTGGCAACGTCTGCACCAAAACATTCACCAGATTTCCAAGTTGTTTTTCAGCTTCAGGTGGTGCTCATGTAAATTTTCCAAGTGGGGAACTCATTTCTCCAGTTATTCTGACACCATGTGAATTCACTGTGAGCCAAAACATGATCTTTTCTCTCGTGCCTAAACCTAACCACACGTTAACAAAAGTTTCAACATATTGGCAACATAATAACGTAAAAATTTTGCGTATCCATGGTTTGCAGATGCGCACAATGCCAGCATCTTTCCTGGTGATTTGGTTGAAACAAGATAAAACCAGTGAGGTGTCAGTGCAGCAGCAGCCGTGTGAATGTACCTGCAAAGAAAGAGAGCACTTGTCCAACTTCACCAAGCAGAAGCACTTCACATCCAGACTTTAACTCAAGTGAATCCACGTTTGAAGTGCCTGGGACGTCACTGCAAACACTGCCCGGTCTCTTCATCCATGTCTGCATGTTGCTGCTCTGTTTTATTCACAGCCAGGAAAAAAAACTTTTTAGATAATGATATTTGCCACGAATAAGTTGACCAAGTGTTTCTGTATTTTGTCTTACTACTTCACTGTGTTTTGTTTTTCACGGTGCAGATGTTGAATGCTTAGTTACCACGGTTGTTACTTCACTTCTAGATAAATTTCAACACTAAAAATTGTTGTGGTTGATCATTTTACAACCAAATATGGAATCATTCCAAAGCATTGTGACCAGCTACGGCTTCAGTCTGTCAGATGTCTAAATGTCAGACTGTATAGATTGAGTCAGTCTCACAGAGGTAAACCCTGTTGGAGGATGTTTGTTGTGCACATTTGTTACAGTTTGACACGCTTCATGCACTGCTACAGCCCAGCTCTTAACACTTTACCAGCTGCGCTCCTTTATATCAAATAAAGAGTCTGCTGAAGTCACGCTCTCCTGTCGTGTGTGATTGATTTCTGTTCAGCGATCGGATCATTTTTCACTGTCACTCATTAACTGGCCCACGCCTTCCTCTCTGCTGATAAAGTGGAGGGTAAAGACTTTGGAGTATCTTTAACAGGTGTCAGGTGTCACAAAGCAACATGTGGACTGTCACACAGACTCAGTCTCCTGTGATAAACAAAGCATCTGTGCAGGGATTCAGTTTGTAGCTAGAACAAGAAAACTGGAACCTGAGACACATCAAGGTGAGTAAAAGGACAACACATTTTATTTTACTGCAGAACATGTACAGATTTATATGGACAATCATTAACTCCAGTAATGCTTGAACAGGTATGTACTGCGTTTTCAGCCAGGATAGTGTCATGAAAGCAATTGTTTTTACCAAGATACTGCTATGTTGCCTGCTGGGATAGTGTCATAGAAAGCAGTTGTTTTTGACCAAGACTTTGCTGCGTTTCCAGCAGGGATAGTGCCACAAATTAACTGAAATATTGTCAAGTTTCCAGTCATGATTTTGGTACCAAAAATGGTTGTGGTTTGACCAGGACATTACTGCATTTCGTGCCAGGATAGTACCATGGAAAGTGGTTGTTTTTGAGTGAGACATCACTTTGTTTTCTTCCAGGATAGTGGCACGAAAATGGATTGTTCTTTCACCGAGATATCACCCCATTTCTAGCTATGATGCGGTTGTTTTTTAACTAGCCATCACCATGTTTCCTGTCAGGATGGTGCCACAAAAAGTGGTTGTTTTTAACTGAAATATTGTTGTGTTTCCGTCTATGATTTTGGTACCAAAAATGGTTGTTTTTGACCGAGACATTACTGCATTACCTGCCAGGATAGTGCCATGAAAAGCGGTCCTTTTTGACTGAGATGTCACCCTGTTCTAGCTATGATTTTGGCACCAAAAGCGGTTGTTTATGAACTAGCCATCACCATGTTTCCTGCCAGGATAGTGCCACAAAAAGTGGTTGTTTTTAACTGAGATATTGTCATATTTCCAGCTGTGATTTTGGTTCGGGACATTACTACATTTCCTGCCAGGATAGTGTCACGAAAAGCGTTCCTTTTTGACCTAAATGTCACCATGTTTCCTGCTGAGTTAGTGCCACAAAAAGCAGTTGTTTTTGACCGAGACTTTCCTACGTTTCCTGCCGGGATAGTGGCACGAGAGGAGATGGTTTTTACAGAGATATCACTGTGTTTCCAGCTATGATTTTGGTACCAAAAGTGGTTGTTTTTTACTGAGACGTCAGTGTTTCCTGCTGTGATAGTGCCATGGGAAGTGGTTGTTTTTGAGAGAGACAACACCGTGTTTTTTTGTCGGGATAGTGGCCCGAAAAGGGATTGTTTTTTTACTGAGACATCATTAAATTTCCAGCTGGGATAGTGCCACAAAAGTGGTTGTTTTTAACTGAGATATCGTTGCATTTCCAGCTATAATTTTGGTACCAAAAGCAGTTGTTTCTGACAGAGACATCACCACGATTCCTGCCGGGATAGTGGCACGAGAGGAGTTGGTTTTTACAGAGATATCATCGTGTTTCCAGCTATGATTTTGGTCTGGTTCCTGCAGAGATGGTGCCACAAAAACATTTTTTTTCACCAAGACATCGCTGTGTTTCTGCTGGGTTAGTGCCATGTAAAGCAGTCGGTTTTTACAGAGACATCACCATGTTTCCAGCTGGTATTTGCACCAAAGGCCATTGTTGTTCACTGAGACATCATTGCATTTCCTGCCAGGATAGTGACACAAAAAAGCATTTTGTTTTTTTGTTTGTTTTTTTACCAAGAGATGCTCCTTTACCAGCTGGGCAAGTGCTACAAAGAGCAGTTGTTTTTTACCAAGATGTCGCTGCGTTTTCAGCCGAGATAGAGCTACAAAAAACTGTTGTATATACCAAACACTTACATTGTATTTGTACATATTATTATTTTTTTTTACTTCTTGTCTATATACTTTAGCATTTAGGAGAAAGAGTATAGGAGCAGGTATATTCAGATCACTCAAGGTTTATGCTGTCTTGATATCTTGTACCAAAGGAAACTTATCTATAGCAGGTAAAGAAAATATATTGTCTTAAAAACTTTATATGAAAATTATATATAAAATATTGAGAGAATATTAATGTGGATAAACTGAGAACAGCTCTGAGAACATGTGTTAACACAGATGTGTATGTTTGTGTTTTCAGCAGGTGTGATCGGTGTGAGGCACAATGTGTGAGTCAGTGATCAGTCTCTTTGATCATTAGCAGTCACACTGGGCAGGATGATTTACCTGGCTCACACAGCTCACCTGCAGTTCCTCGGCCTGTTAGTCGGGTTTCTGGCATGGATCCTCATCCTGACCACAACCGGCCTCAACGAGTGGCGCCTCTGGCACGTCGCTGATGTGTCCGTCATCACCTCGGGTGTGGCCTGGGTGGGTATCTGGAAGGCGTGTTTCTACAGTCACGCCCTCCCCAGCATGGAGAACTGTCAGAGCATCAGCATCTCAGACAGCTTTGCTCCTGCAGAGATCCCCGTGGCTCAGGTGCTGATGGTGCTGGCGCTGATCAGCGGCCTGGTGGGGAACATCACCGCTGCAGTGGCCATGAGGATGGTTTACTTCTCTGTGGAGGATCGTAGGAACATCAGGCTGGTCTTTGTGCTGGCAGGGACCCTGTATGTGCTGACGGGGACCTTCTGCTTGGTGCCGCTGACGTGGAACATGAGCTCTGTGCTCAACAACAGCACCATAGACTTTCCTCCTGAGTTCCAGCTCCCTGCAGCTCCTGTCCGACAGCAAGTTGGTTCAGCCATCGGAGTGGGCATCTCCGCCTCCATAATGATGCTTATAAGTGGGCTGGTTTTCCTCTGCTACCGTTACGCCTGGGCAGCTCTGAGCACAGAGGCCACTAGAAACACCAGGGACCCACTCCATGGCCCCTTGACAAAAATGACCCAGGCACAGAGGTTTGGATTAGCCAATGGAGACAACCAGGGCAGAGATAACCCTGCATTTCACACTGAAGAAGTCTCATGATGGAGAAACATCAGGAACATTTAACTCATGGATGGATTACTGATTGGGCCTACCAGGCACAGACCCAGGGGCCCAAAGTGTCAGGGGCCTCCCTGGTCATACTGACAAGGAGGAGACTCAAAATGAAAACAGAGAGATGCAAATGAACGGCAAAGTGACACAAAACCACACAGTCTGTGTGTCTTGCTCCTATGTAGGAGAGGTGGTGGGGCCTTTTGCATATCTGTGCCCAGGGACCCAGTGTCTCATAATCGGCCCATGATTTGACTTATTTCCAGACTTGGATTTTTATCCTTTTCATTCATGGCAAAGTGACTCGAACAATGTCAGAGAAGAGCTGTCACATTTAAATACCTCAGTAATGTCATACTCCAAAAAAACCTGTGAGCTACACATTAATAATACCGGATGGTATATCAAAACACAGCAACATCCAAAATAACAGTGGAGAATTAATTGCAATTGGACCACAATCTGAAAAATAAAAACTGATTTATCTGAATCATACTGCTGGAAAGATGGTCTCTTTATAATATTAGGCTGTCTGTGGGGTAGACAGAAGCAAAAAATAATTAAATTGGTGCTAAATGACCAGAGAAAACAGAGGAAAATGGCGGTGGCATTCAGTTTGACTCAAGAGATAGAAAACCTACAACTACCAGAATGCACCACTAACATTTACATCAGGGGTTCTTCAGGTTTTTATTGCAGAGTTCTCTTTTACGGAGCTGGTACATGATAGAGGGCTGAGGGGCTAAAGTGCACTTACTATGACTTATTTATAGCATACTATACTATGTCCTTTTTATGACATGCCAACACTTTACTAAAAACCCACAGCAGTGAAACAACACTTCTGTTGGGGTACGGCAATGCCACTTTGACAAAGGCCACGCAGAACTGCAGTTCACCATAATAGTGAAACTGGTGGTAATAATAGAGGCAATTTGTTAAGTTTTATTTTTGACTATGATTACATCTGCCACAAAGTATTGTAGACAGCAGTGCATGGTGGCCGTAGCATAGTATTTTTTTTTTCCTCTGTGTTCTTAATTAGTAGTCATTGAGGGGGACATTTTGAGCTTATTTAGGCTAATACTGGGGGGAATGTGTCCCCACAAATATATATTATAATTATAATAATTACTACCTAATGAGATATATCAGCGTATTATGTTGTGTTATTATTGAAATACAGTGTTTCCTGCAGAGGCGAGCAAAAGCAAACTTTTAGACTCAGCACAAAGACCAGTCACTGCGCCTGATGTTCTGCTGCTCCGTCTGTGCCCAGAGTACTCTCTGAAGGATATCTATATTCCAACTGCGCTCCTATTAACAATCCAGCTACGATAATAGAAAATCTAAACGTGGTGGCAGATGTTTTTTTGTGGCAGGCTGCCAAAAACAAATGTGTGGGAAACCCTAAAATAACTTGGTTGACTTTTGGTTTCACAGTGGACATGAACAGCGGTATCCTGGGTGAAAGTCTGACTCATCCACCTGTGCTAATTTTCTTGCTCTTTATATTACAGTAGTAGGTGGTAGTGTCAAAAAATTACACTGCTCGATGTGTCTCATACAGACACTAAACTGTACCTCTGTGCATTTGTATCTGACATGGAGGCATCGGTATTTGACGAGTTAGGAGTGAGACCTTGTTGGAACCCATTACTATGAGCGACACCTTTCACACAAAGTAATTTTTCAATATAAAAATTTTAATGATGGCTGAATTAATGTTGAAGGCTTCCTGTTGTCATGTCCTTAATGAAAACTACAGATAATATTATGCTGGATTCTGTTTTAAATTAGGCATCCTACAGCATTGTGTGCCAGAGTTCAGGGCCGGTGCATATCTGCAGAAGTTACAATAAACTTTATCTCTGCGGTGTTATCCAATAGGGCTGTTTGGAGTGAGCAATCTGTGCGTCCCTGCGATGACCGATCAGCATTATCACCGCACAGGTCCGGGGGAGGTGACGTGACATGCCAAGGTGTGGGCTTCTAACGGGGCCCCATGTAAGGAGGGATCTCAGCGGGTCAGGTTGACTGGGGGCCCTGCTCATGTGACCTGGGTAGGAGAGCAGGCATGTGAGTATGGAGAGGGGGCCGCCTCACAGTGGTGATTGTTGCCAGGGAAGACACACACACACACACATACGCACACACTGTGGCCCAGTGGCCTGCTGCACCTCTCCGGAGGCGGCGAGCTGCTGAGAAACAAAAGGCCCTCTTCAGCCGAGTGCAGCTCTCTGTCAAAAACACAAGTCACAGAAGTGGATGAAAGGTAGAGCAGCTCTGAGCACTCCTGCAAGACGATGAGGTGCTTTATCACAAACCTGGTGCCAGTAATCTGCAACAGGAGAACCACTGGTATCAATTTAATTAAGTATGACTAAATATTATTCAAAAGCATTCCTGTAGATAAGAGATTCTGAGAAAGTATTTAAATAATTCTTCATGTCTTTCTTCATCAACCTCCCACCTCTCTGTTGCACATTCCCCTCGACAGATAAGCCTGACATAATACCCAGAGCTGGTCAGGCTTTATCTTATCTGTTATGGCAAGTCATCTACTCTGTCAACTTTAATATATAATGGAGGAGCGCAGATAAGAGGGCTCCGAGGAAATAAGGTGATCGATGCAATTAAAATAAGATGAGTCATATCACAACATGATGCCAAAAGCCAACTGTAGGTTCATAAAGATAAGTTTTTTTTTGCAGCTAACCTGATTCTAGAGAGATGATTGGCTGTAAAGCTCAAAGCACGAGCAATCGTGCCTCGTATGTTCTTTTATCTAATTCGGAGATTCCTGCGATCATCCCCAGAGATCGAGATCAGATAAACGTTATATGATTGGTGCCGTCTCCGTGTGTAGCCAGGGTTAGAAAGATAAAGTTACTGGTTACTTCTCAGATTAAGATTTTATATAAATAGAAAGACAAATATGACGAGCTTGTAAAATACAACACACAGTTAAAGATTAAATGAGTGGTCTCCAATCTGTTTGTGACTTCTTAGAAAAGTGCAATGTCTAGCTGGGGCCCTTTGTTACAGACATCTATGTGCAGCTCCAGAGTTATTTCCTCTCTTAACCCTTTGACACCTGAGCGGGTTGCCTTGAAAAAAGTGTGTAGAGATGGAGAAGAAATCAAACCAATTTCCTCAGGTGTCAAAAAGCTTTGTGGAAGGTGTGTGAAAGCAGCACAAGAAAAGTGACGTCGCTCCAAATTTCAAAGGGTTAAAGGGGAACGTCACCACTTTTATACATCAAGGTCTGTTTAGTGATGTCACTTGAGTCAGTGGCGACTAAAGCTGAAAACTTTTATTTTGAAATAAAAGAGTACTGGAGGAGTGGAGTGAGAAAGAAGGCTCATATGTGGGCCTCATCTAGCTACAGTATGGTAGTTGGATAACCTGAAAGTGATAGTTCAGAATTTTTGAAGTGGGTTTGTATGAGGTACTTATCCATAGACAATACATCGGCAACAGTAGATGTCAGTTAGCACACACCAGTTTGAAGAAGCAGGCCGGAGTCCGACATGTAGGCTAAAATCAGTTTAAGTGTATGCTATATTTAGATTATTTTCACAGCTTTACCTTAATGCCAGACAGTGATTTCCAATGGGAAGATGAACCTGTTACATCGCTCTTTTCAAAGCCAGACTCCATTGAGAAAAGCATTGATTTAACATCGCTGAACACAGGAGCTGCTGGTCTACTGCTGAAATGAACAGTTATTTTTTGTGTGTAATTGTGTGACTTTGGCGTTTAAAAGGGTTGGTTTTGAGTCACCAAAGTCACACAATAACACAAACTAATTTACTGTTTGAAGCAGCAGTAGACCAGCAGCTCCTGTGTTCAGTGAACTAAAATTACTGTTTTTCTCAATGGAGTCTGGTGGCTTTGTCGAGAGCATAGATGGGGAAGTGAAGCAGCTACCCCAGCAGAACAGGCTGAGTGATGAAAAGGTAAAGCAGTGAAAATACTCTCTATATAGTGTACACTTAAACTGATACAGATCTGGGACCTAGGCTGGGACCACTGAACTGATGTAACTGGTTATAAAACTAGCTCCACCTCGGCGAGCTGCAACAGTAAAATGCTGCGTGTGGATTAATGTGACTGTAAAAACACTCACAGGGGGCCTCTGTCTGTACTGATCAAAAAGTACATTTTGCTGATGATAATTCTGTACTTTACTGAAGTACTTTAAATGCAGGACCTTTAATTGTAATGGAGTATTTTACGTTGTCGCACAGGTACTTTTCTTCTCATCTCTGCCTGTCAGATAAGACAGATAAGGGGATTTGGTTATTGTGAGCATGCAGGAAGGTTATAATGATAGTTTATCTGTTACGGGTGTGTTGAGCAACAGAAAACTGTAATGCCCAACATGTTACACTTACAATCATGTCTTATCAGACATTTGAACTCAAGATCAATAATCACTATCTCCATCTGAACTGTCAGCCTAGCGGGTCACATCACAGTCAGTTATTCTACAAAGACAGCAAATGATTTGATCATATCCTCTGTGCTGCGGGCAGTTTGCTTATCGGTCCCTCAGGGTGGGTTTGTTTGTTTGCAGTCAGATACATGTAAACATGATTCCTCACGAGAAGACGACATGTCATTTCCTTTGTGTTGCTGTGTTGCCTGGCCCCGCCACACTTAGAGTCTTACAGTAATCAAGCTGAACATCTCTGCAGTTGTTTTCCCTGCCCCCCCCCCCCCCCCCCTGCTGATAGCTGCCCTCACACAGGGAGACACCAGGCCCTCCCTTCAGCCGGCGTGGCTTCAGAGGATAACAGGGTGCCTCTCATGCTCTCTGGCTCCATGAGGCCTGACAGAACCACTTTTTATACCCTCAAAAGTAAAGTCTGTCATGTCTCAGGCCCCTCAGGCAACATATGCTTCTGAGGCAGCATCATTATCTCTCATTAACTTCATTCTATAAGTGCTTACTACACAGAAAGTACCATCATCATCCTCCTCCTCCCACGCAATACCACAATATGTCACTGTACCTGTGTCTGTGTGATACAGACAGTTTTGGAGTGCAGAGAGCGGCGGCGGCGCCCTCTGACCTTGGCAAATTTGTGTAATTATGTCAAAGCAGGAGCCGCAAGGGCAACCTGTTCTACATTCTTCACAGTACACGCCGCCCATTAGAGCATTCATTAAACACAGCTTAGCTCAGCGAGTGACCAGGAAATCTGATGGAATTAGTCTCAAGCTGTGTTTCCACCGCCACAGACACACCTGAAGGGACTGAGACGGCTGTTTTCAGTCACCCCAGGGACCGCCTCAGACCCAAATAGGTTATAGGTTTATGTGACTAATAGACGACCGGATGGGAAAGAGCAAAAGAGCAGCCATGTTTCCAACTCTGACATAACTGAAGGAAAATATGTTGTATCATGTTACACTGTCCCATTTTACACATTTAAAAATAATCATATTCCAACAGAGAATACAACACGAGCACAAGAAAATACCCT